TTTATAAAACAACTTTTAATAATGCAAATAAAGGCCTAGATTCAGTTTCTTAACATGAGTGTTTGTTGAACATTGAAAAGTGTCATCTTACTTTCTGAACCCCCTCCCGACCTTGACACAAAGGTCCAAATCTCCCACACCACCTAAAAGTCTGATGGACGACCACTACAGCATTTTGCTATTATTTATTGGATATTCATGAATTAGTCATACAAACCCAATTACATTTGTTGCTGTGATGGTATCTCTGTCATTACAATTATTAAATAGTTTATCTTAACTCAACATTTCCCCTAACCTCATTTGCTATAGCTGCCTATCCTTATAGAAAACATCTTTTCCTCAAATATCTGGAATGCACCTGATCAGCAACAGTCTTTTTCTTTTGTAATATATAAACAATTACAACATGTCCATAAACTTGCACGGCCAATAACAACACATTACCAGGAAACAGGCAGTGATTATAGTTTGCTGTATTTGTGGTTGATGGTTAGTTATCAGCCATGCTTCACTAAGCCTGGTCTACATTTATATGCTGGTATGGCTAGAATTGACAAAAACCCATATTCTTGATTCTTCCCTTATCATTATGTTTTACATCTATGATATATATATATATATATATATATATATATATATATATATATATATATATATATATATATATATATATATATATATATGCAAATGTAAGGATTAGAGTGGGACTACATATTTTTTCCTTTCTACTGTCATGTAACTTGTGTAACAATCAAACTATAGTTTAGCAATCGGTAAAGTAAGACATTCGGTCTATGAAAAATGTATACCAGCTAACATACCATATATCAATAATGCCACCGTATATCACAATAATGGCGAGAACCTTTAGGACCCCTACGAAGAGATTACACACACTCAATTGATATACTGTATACCAATCGGCCTTACAAAATGAGCCTTACATCAATCGACCAATCAACCTACCGTCTATCCGAACGTTCATCGGCCTTACGGCAATCGACCTTACCAATTGGCATTACACCAATCGGCCTATAAACCTACCGTATATTCACACAATGTCCAGGATCTTAAGGAACCCCACCAGCAGTAGAGGTAAGGCAACAAAAATATCGTGCAGGCAGAGGTGTATCGGGGGGGGGGGGGGAGGGTGTGGATGACACCATTTAGGGTCACCGAATCAAGGCAAAAAATAGCAAAATATATACAGAAAAATGATAATTCAACTTAATTATTAATTAAGTGATTAGTTAAAAACCAAAATTGTCTTTTAAGAGCAAATTTGACAAATCCCGACCAGAGTGGTGGGGGGGGGGGGGGGGGGGGGTTGACGCCATGACATAGACCTGATAATGATAGAGTAAACAAGTTACATTAATCGACCACTTTACTTAACCGTTTACCTCAGACATATTTTACAAAGTTGAGCTAATGTACATGGGAGGTAACTTTGTAATATAGCATTCATTCAAATAAATATTTCGTTATAAATTAAGTTATGTAATGTATTAAAAATTGAAAAACTTATTGCGAAAGGGAATTTAATATAATATTTGATTTATACTTTTAAGGAAGCTTTTGCAGTTCTAATAACCTCACGTGTAATTGTGAATATTGTTTTAAGGTTTCCATGACATAAAACGACTCAAGCTGTTCAAACTTAGGCCCTAAGCACTTCACAGCAAAGGACGGAGCACAGTAAACTAAGCAGTCAAGAGAAATCTAGTTTGCACACCTTATTTTAGTCTTGTTCTTATCCCATTTTATGTTCTCCCTTTGATTATTATATATGCAATTGATGTTCATGTATTTGATGCTGTGTAAAATCTATCAAATAAATTATTATTACTGATTTAAATGTTTAAAACAATTGAATTAATAAAAAAAATAAAAAATAAAAAAAATAAAAAATAAAAACTGTTTGAGGACTGTAGATATAGATGTTTGAAAGGGAAGAATGTTTGCTTTGATGTGTCTCATTGTAATAACATAACTTTTCCGATTGCTTAAATTTTGTATCATTTTAAATCTCTGTAATCCCAAATTTATTTCATCTCTACTTGAAAACCCGAATTCCACCCTCTCCTCCCACCCGTCCCCTCAGTCCACCACGCCGGGGAAAAAAATCCCTTGAATCATTTAATTACACATTTGCATTTTCAGTTTCAGGTTGTTTTTTTTTTGTTTTTTTTATATTTTTTTTTATATTTAGAGTTTTAATTTTAAAGTATTGCATCACATTGATATATACTTAAGTCATGAACTTATCAATATAACATTTTATAGTCTGTCGTCAGTCTGTCGCCTCAACGCTGGGGAACATGAAGTAGGGTAACTAATAGAAAGTTGTTTATGCTGTGTTTTTTGTTTTTAATTCTGAATGGTAAAAAGAATATAGTAAAATTCAGTTTATGACATCCGTGCTTCAGATAATGAAAAAGGCAGATCAAATCACTTAGGTGATTGTTACCAGTGTATAGCACTGACCCAAGTGTAAATCAGCCCAAAGATTACAAATTGCATCACAGCAAAGACAGTCAATAAAGAACTTGTCATTTAATAAAAACTGCATGCTCTAGTCCCCTCAGTTAATCCCTTTCAAAAGCTTTATTGTTCATTTTCTCAGATCTGATTTAATCATCCCCATTTTCAGCCTGATTATCAGATGTCCACAGGGTAAGATTGTCACGAAGAAGTTGCATGATCAGCGTACTGTCTTTACAATCATTTTCATGTCATTTCTCTAAGTCGCTGATGGCTTCATCAAAGGCTTCTTTTGCCAAATTGCATGCCTTATCGGGTGAATTCAGGATCTCATAGTAGAAAACTGAATAATTGAGGGCAAGACCGAGGCGATTTGGGTGAGTTGACGGCATGTTTTTCTTAGCATGCTCCATTGCCTTAGAATAGGCTAATTCAGCTTTAGTGATGGCAGTTGTTCGCTCGGGACCCGACTCAGATTTGTACTCAGCAATGTAACGATAGTAATCACCTTCTATTTTGAGACAGAACACCTTCTCTTCATCTGAACATTCTTCGGTGATCAGGTGCTTTCCCAACAGACCAAGCACCTCGTTGCACGTAGAATCCAGTTCAGATTCAACTTTTACTCTGAAGTCTTGAGCAATCGCTTTTCTTTTCTCGTTTTCAGCTTTCTGCTCAATCATACAGATTACTCGCCAACAACATTATTGTAGGCAACTGACAAAAGGTTACGTTTTTCTTGTGTTAATTTACCCTCCAGTTCTGTGACCTTCCGCATAGCTCTAGCCATGTCGACGTACCTTTCAGCCTGCTCTGCGAGCTTGGCGAAGGTAACCAGCTGCTCCACATCTTTCAAACCATCGATGAATTTAAAAGCACTGGCGGTACTGCTCCTCATCGTGATAACGTGAACTGCAGTTGAACAAATGCACTTTCACAGTCACAACTCAAAATAACATTGTTTATAATTGGGAATAGTGCAGAAACGGATGCGGCTTAGAAAAAAACGGCCAACTTTATTTTGTGAAAACAATGGGATCAATTTATAATGCTTTTAAAATATACAGAATACAGTTTCTTTAAAGGTTTCAACTATTTAGCATAGAAAACGTTTTTAAAATGGTTAACAAAATACATAATTTTAACATTGTAAACAACCTTATTTTAGACAATTATGGGCAAGCTAAATTTTTAAAATTCTGTATAATTGAGATAAATTTTGCCAACTTGGCAATATGAAAGAATATAATTATATAGTTCAATTATGTATTTAAACTCCGTATATAATAAACCGGGAGTCATCTCCCCTAAACTTTCTCGAATATTCTTATATAACTTGGAATGTAGACATGATTTTTAATTATTTAAACTTATAAAAATAGAATAGAATCTCATAGAAAAAAAAATTCGCACCAAGCGAACGCCAAAACATAATGTGCATAATAGTGCGCAATATTATTAGTACTTTATAAATTTACATGCGTTTTTTGAGAAATCGGAAATAGCGTAAATTAGTACTTCCTGTCAGCGGAAATTACTCTAAATTTGACAGAAGTTAGAGAATTATATCTTTTACTTACATGTAAATTTCATTTATCTACCTGAAATAGTACTCAAGTTATAGGCTTTCGAAAAATTCAAAGTAGGAAACGTATCACTTCCGGTTATCGGAAATCGCTCAAAAGTTGAAACGGATCTACGATTTTGATAAAATACTTATATATGAAATTTCATCTACCTAGCTGTAACGGTACTCAAGTAATCGTGTTTACACACATACAGACAGACAGACACACACACACACACAGACATACGGACAAGATTGCAAAATTATGTTTTTCCGTATCAGTGAGTTGTATAACGTCGAGATTTGTAAAAATCTCGATTTTTTTTTGCACGATTACAATACTTTCTCTATAATTCGTATATACTAGAAAGTAAAAATGCAAAATATCCAGTTGCCTTTACTTAACATCACGTGAGTCAGGTACCCATTAAAGCTGGGTGGAATAGGCGAAGTGTTATGGGCTAAAGCCATGGATCCAAACAACTCAATATTTACATGTTAGGAGTCGTTCAATTACTGTCTACTTTAATAAACTAACAAAGAATCTGTGAAACGTGTAAAAGATCAATTAAGTCAAGCCTTGATGTTAGTATGCGTTTGTTCTACTCTCCATAAAGCATGATTGCATGCAGGTTTAATTTGTAGCACTTGGTAATCAAACAGCCTACTATAGTCCCCAGTAGGTAAACGATACGATAGCCTACCAGAGTTTCCAGTTAGTAAATAAAATGACAACCTAACTTAGTCCCCAGTAAGTAAATGATAAGACAGCATACCTTAGTCCCCGGTAGGTAAATTATACAACAGCCTACCTGAGTTCCCAGACCGAGACAGATTAACATCAGTAAGAAGAACACAATTGTGGAACCAGAAGCTGGGACAAGAATAAGATCCTGACGTATGAGACAACAGCCAATAATGAGTAACATTTATAGGCATGAAAAATACTTACAGTTTTTACAAAAATGTGGTGACACATCTGTCTGTTATCCAAGGTGACCCAATTATTTCCATTCATGGTGACACAACAAACTAACATCTGCGGTGAGGCTAATATCTAATATCCACTGTGACACAAATTATTACCCTCATTGGTGACACATCTACACATTATGTGTGGTTACATACATTCTTACCTTTCGTGGTGACAAATTTACCTGCCTCCTACCATTTGTAAAGATACACCTACCAACCGTTCATGGTGACAAATGTAACTACAATCGGTGGTGACACATCTACCTACCATCAGTGGTGACACATCTACCTACCATCAGTGGTGACACATTTACCTACCGTCAGTGGTGACACATGTAAGTATCATCAATGGTGACACATCTGCTTACCATCAGTGGCGACATTCTCCACAGCGACCCCTGAATTTTCAGCCATATATCCCAGAATTGAGAATATCGCGAAGCCGGCGTAGAAGCTCGTCAGGCAGATAATGATTGGCACCATAATGCTATCTCTGAAAGACAACATAATACAATGTCAGACCAGACAGTTAATGATTGGTGCCATGATGCTATCTCTGTAAGACAACATATTACAATGTCAGACAGTTAATGACAGGCACCATGATGCTGTCCCTGTAAGACAACATATTGCAATGTGATTATTGTTATCTTTCCTTTTCGTTCCTTGCGGAATATTTCAAAGTCAACGATGGTTATTTTAAAGTTCAAAATACAAATACAGCGTTTTCTAAATAGCAGTGTTGGATATTATTAGTTTTATTGTACAAATCTTCAAGTTTCCATACATTGATAATGAACAGTTGAAAAAGTAAACATGATAGACGGTTGGTAGTTATGTATAATATAATATAAGCATATATAAAACTTGGTAAAACGTAAACATTACGGTTTTATTTGAATTAGAAGAGTACCACTACATGTAATTTAACTAGGTCAAAACCGAAATAAATATGACTTTCTCAACAACTTATTAACTAAAAATAAACCCGGAAAGATCTCCCCTAAACTTTCTGGAATATTCCTATATAACACTACGGAGGATGTCAACTCGGGAAATAGACATGATTTTATTTTTAATCCATTTTTAATTACTTGAACTTTTTAAAATAGAATAGAAGCTCATAGAAATGAAGAATTGTGAACAAAGTAAATGGTAAACAATATGTGTATAATAGTGCGGAATATTATTATTACTTTATATCTTTATAATTATTTAAATATATCATCCCTTTTGCATAAATTTAGCTAGTTACGAATTCAAGCGATCAAGAAGTTCATGATACAACATATAAATTTACAACTAAAATCCCAAACAGCGCACAATACCAGTTTACAGTTTGGATTGTTGCTTACAGTTTAGAGACTAAAGTAAGAATTTAGTGGTGTTGTTCAATCAAATGTTTTTTAAGAGATGAACATTTTTTAATACACTTCATTAGCCACTGTAAAATAATAATCCTGAGTGTGTGGTGTTGTTTCATGTCAATAAGGCTTGGTTTTAGAATAAATTTTCTGTTTGAAGCAACATATCGACTCTTTGCAAATCTTTATTTCCTTACAGCAAGATGATACTGATAAAAGTGTTTTAATGCAAGTAACTCTACAGTTCGGTCCGAAACAAACCAGCTTTGATAGGTACCTGACTTCATTGATGAAATCAATCTAAAAGTGATTTGCTCCGTTTTTTTTTTTTTTTTTTTTTTTTTTACAATTTAAGATCTCAAGCATTTTGAATACTTTTACTATGTTTGGTAGCAAAAAATGATTTGAAAACAATTCAGTCGGATCGACTGACGTACTGACTGACGGACTGAATGACGGATTGACTGAAGGACCGTGTCGATCGACCTACAGAACGATCGACCAACTTTCCGACCGACCGACCGACCAACCTACAGAACGACCGGCCGACTTTGCAAAAAACAGATTTGCAATAATAATATCCCGCACTATTATACACATTTTGTTTGGTGTTCACCTGGTGTGCAATTCTTTTTTCTATGAAATTCTATTCTATATTAAAAAGTTTACGTTATTGAAATGGATTAAAAATCATGCCTATATTCCGAGTTGCCATCCCCTGTTGTTTAATTAAGAATATTCGAGAAAGTTTACTGGCGATCACTCCGTGTTTATTTATTTTTTGCACGATTACAATACTTTCTCTATACTTCGTATACGAGAAATTAAATGTTTAAAGTACGGACAAATCCTTAAAAACGTTTTAATAAGAAGCTTTTAAGTAATAATGCACTAAAAAGTAGAGAATAAATTATATTCTATTATTTGAATAACTATAAAGAAAAGGGTGGGTCTCTTCCTAATTTTTAGTAAAGTAATAGATACTTAAGTGACACACGCTTTTCTTTATCATTATCTAAATACAATACTATTTAAATAACTTTAAAGAAAAAAGCTTTTCTTTATTGTTATATAATTATTAGTGTATTTTATTACTATATATTTAAA